CTTGGAGCAACCTGGGCTGGTGGAAGGTGTCCCTGCCCACGGCAGGGGGTGGCACTGGGTGGGTTTTAAGGTCCCTTCCCAGCCAAACCATTCCAGGATTCCATGGCTGTGTGGTTCCAGCCTGTTCCATCGGTGCCAGGAACGTGAAGCTGAGGGAGGGGAGCGGAGCTGGGCAGTGACAGAGCAATCCCTGTGATCTCAGAAATGGGATTTCTGCCCTTGGAAAGGAGCAGCGGTGGGAGCAGGGGCTGCACGCAGCTGTCCTGCCGTGTCTGTCCCCGCGCCCGTACCCATGGCAGTCCCGCTCCCCCTTCCTCTGCTCGTTCCCGTGTCCTGCCCGTGTCCCGCTGTCCCGGTGTCCGGTGTCCCAGATGTCACTAGGTGTCACTGCTGGCCCGGCAATCCCGGCCCCGCTCCGCATCCCTTGGAACGGGCTGGACACGGTGGGACAGGATCCCACAGCCGGGACAGGGATGGGTGGCACAGGGAGGGACAGGAGCCCACAGCCGGGACAGGGATGGGTGGCACAGGGAGGGACAGGAGCCCAGAGTTGGGATCGGGATGTGTGAGACAGGGAGGGACAGGAGCCCAGAGCTGGGATCGGGATTGCCGGGACAGAGAGGGATAGGAGCCCAGAGCTGGGATAGGAGTGTGTGGGACAGGGAATGACAGGGTCCCACAGCCGGGACAGGGATGTGTGGCACAGGGAGGGACAGGGGTGTCCCCTCGGTGTGTCCCCCACGGGGCTCCGCGGGGCTGCCCGAGCCGGCTGTGGGGTCCCCTCCCCGGGCACTGCTGTCCCCGGGGCACAGCAGGGGTGGGCAGGGCGAGTGCTGGTCCTGGCGCTGGGCAGGCACCTCCTGGGGAGCTGGATCCTGCTGGAGCCCCTCGGGACAGAGGCAGGGCTTGGACTGACCCTCCCTCACTCCCAAAAATGGCTTTAACCTCTGTGCTGGAAGCCGCATGCTGCCAACCAATGGATCTGAAACACAGATCCTCGTCCCCATTCCATCCCTACCCCATCCTTGCCCCCATCCCATCTCATCCCCATCTCCATCCCTGTCCCCATCCTCATTCCTTCCCCATCCCATCCCTATCCCTATGCCCATCCCATTCTTATCCCCATCCCATCCCTATCTCAACCCCATCCCATCCCATTCCTCTCCCCATCCCCATCCCCAATCATATTCCCATTCCATTCTCATCCCCATTCCCGACCCAAATGACCCACAATCCCCGGGGTTTTCCCCAGGTGAGTTTGGGGTGCCCATATCCCACACACAGCCCTGCTGCCCCCAAACCTGACCCTGGGGGTGCCCAAGGAGTCTCTGCATGGCCGGAGCTGCTCCGGCTCCCCAGCTCCTGGTGTGAGGGACACGGGGTTGTGGTGCCATCCCTGGGCAATTCCACCCCAATCCCACCTGGAGCACTGGGCTGTACTGCCCCCCAGCCCCACAATTCCACCTCAATCCCATTGGGAGCACAGGGCTCCACTGCCCCCCAGCCCCACAATTCCACCCCAATCCCATTGGGAGCACAGGGCTCCACTGCCCCCCAGCCCCACAATTCCACCCCAATCCCATTGGGATCACAGGGCTCCACTGCCCCCCCAGCCCCATCCCCAAGTCAGGGCCATGTTGCCACTTCCAGGGGATTGTTCCCCAGATCTCTCCCTTTGCACAAAATGCTGCTGTGGCTTCCCCCCCTTCTTTTCCCAGATGGTTTTTCCACATCAAAACACTGCACATGAGAACACTCTTTTCCATCTCATAACTCCACAAAATATTCTTTTAATCATCTAAAATTTCTTGGTGCCTTCCAATGATCCACAAACCCGGAGGGAAGAGGATTGATCCCCTCCCTTCCCTTGACAGGCTCTGCCCCCACGGACACTGCACTGCCTCAAATCTCTGTCCCCAGAGCTTTTACCCACTTTTCTCACTGGAAGGATGAAACATAGTTTACTTTTCAATGCTAATCCAATTCCAGCTTGCAAACCACGAGGACAAAACCATCCAAAGCAGTGACAGGGATGACAAGAGGTTAAATCACACCCTGCTTCCATCCTGCCGTGAAATTCCAGTGGAGAGGGAGGAAAACCACCCAGGTGGGACTGCTCAGACCAAGGCTGAGCAGAAAACTAATCCCAGAAAACTAATAAAGATGAAATCTAAATATTAAAGGAATCGTGTTATCCATAATTTCTCTTTTTGGTACATTTTTGGCACATTTTGGGCACTTTTTTGACACAGCCACTCCCAAGAGGCTGCAAAGCCCCCTCAGTCGGGTCTAACTGCTGCTGCCTCAGGGATCCATGAGACTCACCTGTCAGAAAACATTCCCAAAGCACATTCAGCTTAGGAATTGCAAATGATTAATCCATGGAAAACTTGCTAAGTGATCCACGGAGCAGGAGAGGGCACCCGGATCCAGCTCCCCCTGCTCTCAGCTTCCCAGGGCTGAAAGCACACACAGGGCTTCCCAGCCACAACTCAGGGATGGGATCCATCTTCCTGACATAATTGAGGGATGGGAATCCTTTTCCTGACATAATTTAGGGATGGAAATCATTTTCCCAGCTGGGAGATGGAGAGGGGTGTGAGGGCAGACCTTGACCCACGTTCCTGCCGGGGAGGCAGAGGGACCACACACTTCAAACGGGAATCATGTGGAGTTCCAACATCTCTTCCGGGTTTTCTTCTGGCTGGAATAACTGCCAGCACTCCCATTGCTAATTAGAACGGATAGTGTCTTCTTTTCCAGTAGGAAAAACAAAGTGTTCCCACCGAAGTGTCCCATGGGATGAGGCAGAGGCACGGCCAGCAATGCCTCGGGGAGGGGGCCAAGTGGGGACTGTCACCCCCAAAGGGGGCAGAGGGATGGGCTGCATCGAGACCAGGACATGGGAGTGGGATACATCCAGGCTCTGGATGGGTGTTGTTCATGGAATCAGAGAATCATGGAATGGTTTAGGCTGGAAAAGCCCTCTGAGCCCACCGAGTCCAACCACCCCTCAGTGCTGCCACGGCCACCACCAACCCGTGTCCCCAGGTGCCACATCCACACGTGGAACAGCCACCAAAGGAAATTCCCTGCAAGAGCTCCATCAAACAGCATTTCTCCGTGCTGGCCTCGGCCTCCCTGAGGGTTCATTCCCATGGGGACCATCCCTGGACAGCGCGAGGTGCCACCCATTCATCTCACCCCTGTGCCACGGCAGGGTTTGCTCACAGCCCCCTCCCGCATTCCCGGCTGTGTTTGGGATAATGGAATCTCCCCTCAGACAGAGAGGGGGCAGAGTTAACCAGGGCAGCAGCTCCGAGCTCTGCCTGCATCCACATCCTCGTCCAGGAAATAGCCCAAATCACCGCTCAGCCCAGCACGGGAGTGACTGTCCCGCCCATCCCTGGGCATTCCAAGGAGCTGGAGTGTCAGGACACACTCCCAAACCACCGCCCTGGCTGTCAGGAGCTGCTGCCACCTTCCATTTATCCCCCAAACCTCCAAACCTCCGATGGGAAACTCGGTCCCAGGAGCGGCACCAGGGCTGGGCACTCCCTGAGAACTGCTGAGGGGGACACGAATTCCCAGCAATTCCCAGGCACTCGGGTGCCTCTGGGAAGCCGTTTTGTTCCCTGGGGTGCTCGGGTGCCTCCCCAGGGCTGGGCAGGGGTCTCAGGAGTGCGCGGTCCCGGTGCTCCCGCGGCCAAGTGCAGCCCCAGTGTCACACCAGCTGCCACCATCCCGGTGTCACCGCTCCCGGTGTCACCTCACCTGGGCACGCGGGGAGGCTCCGAAAAACTCCCCGTGGTTGGACCTTCAATGAAAACAGACCTGAGGGGTCTTTGGGGAGGGGGAGGTTCAACCGACTGAGCCCACAGGTCCCCAGAGGGTTGGGCTGGCTCTTCCCGCAGTCCCGGGACTGGCACTGCCCCTCCTCGCTGCACAAACCTCCTCCAAAACAGGTTTCCCCCCAAACACTCCCCAGATCCACTCCCTGGAAATGCGCAGCCCAAAACCCGCTTGGGAAATCCTGCTCCCCCAAAATCTGCAAGTCCGTTCCCCTGAAAACACTCCCGAACCTCATTCCCCCAGAGCCATCTCCCAAAGCTCCCTCCCTCAGGAAAAGTGCATCTCTGAAATCCGTTTGCCAGAGTCACTGCACAAAACCCACTGGAAAAAGTCCTGTTCCCCCGGATCCCCCTCCCCACACCCCTCCAGCCTGTTCCTTTCAAAACCCGCTCCCCAAACCCTCTCACAAGACCCTCTTGGCCCCATCCAGGTCTCCAAGCCCCCCAACCCCGTTCTCCTTCTCCCCAGGATCCCCCCGCTGCCTTCCCCGCATCTCCGACCCGCTCCCCCGCCCAGCGCCCTCCCCGACCTTTCTCGCTGCCCCCTCTCCCACCCCCCAAATTCATTCCCCTCTCTGACCTTTTCCCTCGCCGATTCCCCCATCCCGCTCCAAAGCCACCCCCCAAATTTCCCGCGCCGACCCCCCTTCCCGCTTCCCAAACTCCCTCCTCTCCCTCCCGCCTCCAAACCACCTCCTCTCTCTTCTTCCCCCCCTTCTCGACCCTTTCCCACTCCAATCCTCCCTTCAGCCCCCCAAAACCACCTCCTCTCCCTCCCGCCCTCCCCTCTCCCCTCTCCCCACCCCAACCCTCCCTCCAGCCCCGCAAACCCTCTCCCTCCCTTCTCCCACCCCCAAACCCCCTCCTCTCCCTCCCGCTCCCCTCCCTCCCACTCCAATCCTCCCTCCAGCCCCCCAAATCCCCTCCTCTCTCTCCCGCTCTCCCCTCTCCCCACCCCAACCCTCCCTCCAGCCCCGCAAACCCTCTCCCCTCCCTTCTCCTACCTCCCACCCCCAAACTCGTCCCCTCTCTCTCTCTCCCGCCTCCCCGCTCCCCTCCCCGTCCCTTCCCCACTCCCACCCTCCCTCCCGTCCCCCGAGCCGTCTCCCCTCCCTCTGCCCCCTCCCTCTCCCCGGGGCGGGGCGGGCGGCTCCGCGGGCGCGGGTGGGCTCAGCTCGGTCAGGCTCGGCTCGGGTGGGCTCGGCACGGCTCAGCCCGGCCCGGCACGGCCCGCCTGCATGCGGCGGCGGCGGCGGCGGGGCTGCCGGGCGGGATGAGCGGCTCGGGAATGCCGGCAGGGATGAGCGGCTCGGGAATGCCGGCAGGGATGAACGGCTCCTCGGCGGGGCTGCCGGGCGGGATGAGCGGCCCGGCGGGGCTCCCGGGAGCGCTGCCCGGTGCCGGGGGACTCCCGGGAGGGCCGAACGGCTCGGCGGCGGCGGCGGCGGGGCTGCTGGCGGGGGCCGGGGGCGCGGCGCTGGAGCTGGAGCGGGCGCTGCGCTGCTGCACCGCCGCCTCCGTGGTGACCGACGGCAGCGGCGCGGCCGAGGAGCGCAGCCTGTACATCATGCGGGTCGTGCAGATCGCCGTCATGTGCGTCCTCGCCCTCACCGTCGTCTTCGGCATCTTCTTCCTCGGCTGCAACCTGCTCATCAAGTCCGAGGGGATGATCAACTTTCTGGTGAAGGACCGCCGGCCGTCCAAGGAGGTGGAGGCGGTGGTGGTGGGGCCGTACTGACCGCCCGGCCCCGGGACAGCGCCCGGCCCCGGGACAGCGCCCGGCCCCGCCGCGGACACGCCACCGTCTCGGCTCGGAGCTTTTTCCTCCTTAAAAACCGTCCCACGGACGATTCCCGGGATCCCGGAGGCCTCGGAGCCGCCCGGCCCGTCCCGTCCGCCCGCGGGCTGCCAAGTAAAACGTGCTCTCATGGCAACAGGTCTGGGGGTCCTTATTCCGTCCGCCTTTATCCATCCGTCCCTCCCTGCGGGTCCCGGGGTGCCGCGGAGGGGCGCGGGGGGCGGCCGGGATTCACCGGGATGAACCCTTCCCTCTCCCCCCGTGCAGGTTTTTCCTCGCAGCTGTGCTAAAATTTCCCTTTTCCAGCGCTTTTCCAGCCCTCCCCGGTTGCACAAACCTGGGCGAACCCGGGACCCTCATCCCTGGGCGAACCCGGGACCCTCATCCCTGGGCGCGGGGGAGATGCTGGGACTGCGATCCTGCCCCTTGGATCCCGCGGATCCCGACTGTGGCGAGGGAAATAACCCCAACCACCCCGGTTGTATCCCCTCAGTCCGGGTTTGGCTCCGGAAAACCACAATACATAGTTTTTTTAACCCAGCTGGCCAACAGGTGACTTCGCACGGTCACATTCTGGGGAGGGAGAAGCTGCTGCTCGCACGGGGTTCTGTTCTCTCCATCCCTTCCCTCCGCGGGCACACGGACAGACAGCATCTCCCTGAGCTGTTTATCACACCCGCGGGGGCTCCTCTGCCTGCTGGTGACAAATTAATATCTCCGCGTTTGCTGGGAGGGGAGTGGGACCGGCACAAACACTCGCCGGGGACGCGGCAGCGGGATGGGGGCAAAAAGGGCTCAAACAACGTGTCTGTGAGATAACAGTTCTCACGACCCCCAAATTCCCGCAGTAAGATGCTAATTGTCGGTATTTTTAACGCCGATAACGATCGGGGAGTTTTCTGGAGCAGCCAGCCAGACTCCAGGCTGTTCGGTTCATCCCGGCTGCGGAGATGGCTGAGCTACCAAAGTGTTCCAGACACCTCCAGGAGATGTTATCAGGAGCTTAAATTGTGATGGACAAGGTGAAACTCGTTGACACCTGAGCTGGAAGGGCGGGGGGAAATAAAGCTGGAGCCTGACACGACATCTTCTGCTGGAATCTGAGACAAAGCAGAGCATCCCGAGGGAGTGCAGTTCCCCGCGTGCTCCCTCATTTACAGCTACATTTAAGGGAAAGACAAAGAACAGATCTGCCTGTTCTCTGGGGAACAAACACACTGTGGGCTCGTCATTACGGCAAAATAAACGTTCCTGAGCCATCTCAGCTGAAACAGCCCTGAGAAATTTAACCAAAACTCTCCTTTCTTTACCCTTTAGTGCCAGAGAAATGTTAGATAAAGCAGAATTTTAAGATAATACAGTAAGAGGGAGAACTAATACAAATGTTTCAGTCATTCCAGAGCATTTCCAGCTGTTTAACGTGCATCACTGGGTGGTGTTATGGAGAACACAGCCATTCCCATATCCTGCCTTGCAAGGGGTGCACTGAGTGCTTGGACACTTCCTGGGAGCTGGATTCGTTAGGCATCCTTTCTTAATTATAGGGAATGCTTGGATTATACATTATATAATTATACATTTTGATTAACCTTTGCCAGAGGCCACGGCTTTTCTCTACACCATCAATGTGAGGGAAAGTAAACTCCTGGTTCTGTCATAAAATTGTGGCCTTTCAGCCTCAGCCTGAGATCCCTCTTTCCCTGGTGCCCAGGGACCCTTAGGAGGTGGGAGCCCCCACCTAATCCAGCACTTGTGACTCCTCAATCCCTCAGAAGAGGCTCCATTTCAGGCAGGGAACAGTTGGGAAAGGGGTGGATGCAGAGCTGCTCAGACACATCCAGTCCCTCAGAGGCACTTGGGCCTCTCTCCCTCCCTGCACCCCGGGAGGGGATTTGGGAATTGGCACTGGGAATAGATGGAGACCTGGGATGTTCATCACCCCTGCGTGGGCAGGAGGGTGGAAGGGGAAGAAGAACCTCTGAGATCCCACCCAGAGCTCTGGCATCACCTCAGCCCCACGTTGTCCGGGGGGATGGAGGAGCTCGGGGGATGGAGGAGCTCAGGGGATGGAGGAGTTTGGGGGATGGAGGAGCTCAGGGGATGGAGGAGTTTGGGGGATGGAGGAGCTCAGGGGATGGAGGAGCTCAGGGGATGTAGGAGCTCAGGATGGAGGAGGAGGAGTGATGAGGAGTTTGGGGGATGGAGGAGCTCTTTGGGGGGGATGGAGGAGCTCAGGGGATGGAGGATTGGGGATGGAGGACTGGGGGATGGAGGAGCTCAGCTCAGGGATGGAGGAGCTCAGGGGATGGAGGAGTTTGGGGGATGGAGGAGCTCAGGGGATGGAGGAGCTCGGGGGATGGAGGAGTTTGGGGGATGGAGGAGTTTGGGGGATGGAGGAGCTCAGGGGATGGAGGAGTTTGGGGGATGGAGGAGTTTGGGGGATGGAGGAGTTTGGGGGATGGAGGAGCTCAGGGGATGGAGGAGCTCGGGGGATGGAGGAGCTCAGGGGATGGAGGAGCTCAGGGGATGAAGGAGCTCAGGGGATGGAGGAGCTCAGGGGATGAAGGAGCTCATCAGCTCCGCTCACTCCGAGACGTGCCTCCTGCCTGTCCTCTGGGTGCTCCAGACACCTCCCTGCCTCAGGAACCTGCTCCTCCTGCCCAGGGAGCGCCTTGGTCCCTCCCAACACGTGTGTGAAGCCGTGCCCTGCGTGTTCCAGGAGCAGGAGCCTCCTGGGGAACAGAGATTTCTCAGCTGCGCCCGACGTTTCCGGGGCGTTTTTGGGAAAGCACCTGGAAAGCTGAGGGGAGTCTGTGGGGTCAACAAGCCCAGCTCCCTCAGCTCCTGGCAACAAAGCTGCCTCCTGGAGTGCTGAGGGCCAGGAAATGGGTGCATTGGGGATCAAACAGTGTGAGTACCCAAAGAGGGGCTCACAGTCCCAGAGCTGGAATGCACAGTACGAACCCCTGCCCTGCTCCCCTGGGCTTCTGCTTTTTTGTTCAGCTGGAATGGTTGAGTGTGTTCCCTTTACCACCAGAATTCCAGGGGCCTTTCACTGATGGGCATTCCTGCTTCTGCAGAATGTTTCCATCCATGGAATTCCCAGAGGAGAGGACAACTGAGTGAGCTGGGAGAGCTGAGCAGATCCCAGTCATTGCTGTCAGATCATAGAATGGGAGAATCATGGAATGGTTTGGGTTGGAAGGAACCTTTAAGGGTCAGATGGTCCAACCCTCTGCCATGGGCAGGGACACCTTCCACCAGCCCAGGTTGCTCCAAGCCCCGTCCAACCTGGCCTTGGACACTTCCAGGGATCCAGGGGCAGCCACAGCTTCTCTGGGCAACCTGGGCCAGGGCCTCCCCACCCTCCCAGCCAGGAATTCCTTCCCAATATCCCATCTCTCCCTGCCCTCTGGCAGTGGGAAGCCATTCCCTGTGTCCTGTCCCTCCAGGCCCTGCTAAAACATGATCTCATACAGGGAATATTTCCAATTTTTGAGACAGCCCTGCCCCTTGCAATTCCCAGTGACTCCTGGGGTGGGAAGGACTTTGCAGCAGGACCTCTCCCAGTGGGATTCCTACCAGGAATCCCCCTGCCCGTGGCAGGGGAGTTGGAACAAGATGATCTTCCAGGTCCCTTCCAAACCATCCTGGGATTCTCTGGCATCCCACTCCAGCTGTTTGGAGAGAACAAGACCCAGAAAGTCTGTTCAGCCCCAGCCAGAGCAGCTCCCTCAGGGTGTATTTGTGATTCTCCTCGAGTGCTGCAATAAAAAAGCTCAAATCTGACTTTTCTGAAGTCAAGGTTGAAGTGGCCTCACCTCAGGCTGCCTGAATTCCTAATTGCTGCCTACACAGTCAGACCACCACTGCCTTTGCCTGGAATTAAATCCGTGTGCTGCAGAGCCTGAGGCCACTGCTCCACACAGCCCTGAGCTGGAAAACCCTGGAGCCAGAGCAATCCTGGGAATACAACCCCACCAGGCTCATCCTGGCCCTCCTGCTTTCCCTGCTGCCTCTCAGCCTGGCAGGAACTGCAGTTAAGGATTTCACCCTCTCACCCCAAAACTGCTGCTAATCCTCCAGGACAGGAACCAAGAGCTGCCTCAGTCGCTCCCCAACACCCACTGGAGTGGTTTATTCCATATTTCAGACGGGAGACACTCCTTAAAAACCACTCCAGCACCTGTAATTGCTGTCAGATAACCCTGGGAGTGCTCTCAGCCTAATTGCTCTGGGTGGCTGTACAGTTTTAATTGTCTGTTTTCCACATCTTTCGGGTAATAATGATCAAATACTGTCTGAAGGGTGAGGACAAGGTGCACTTTGGCAGCTCAGACACACACGTGGGTGGAGGGAGGTTTATTCAGGCAAAATTCACATTGATTTTTTTTAAAGCAGTTCAGCTCTAATAAGGGAAATAAGATCCTGCAGTTCATTTGCAGGTAAAAAAAAAAATCAAACTTCACTCTAAGAGCCAGTTACAGCTTCGTGATTAGCCTTAATATTTATAATTATATTGTAAGAAGTAGCCATGGAGTGATCCTGGATCCTGCAGCACAGCTGGGAATGGGGCTCCCAGCCCTGAATGAAAGGGTGCTCCCTAAAAATCTTCATGTCCAGCTGGACTCCCCTCTTCAACACGAGCCCATATTAATGCTCATTAGAGGGATCATTAGAGGTGCTCCCCTGCCTCCCTCCCAGCCCTCTTTTCATGAATGGGTTGCTGCCATTGATCCCAGCCAGGACTGGGAATGTCTAACAGCTCCTGGAGCCCCAGGGGACAGCCAGGCTTTCAATTCTTTGAGAAGATAAACCAGCAGTGTCAGCTCTGTAATTAAGGGTTGAAGTTGTTGCCCAAACCCTCGCTGTCTGCAGCTCCCCATGAGCTGTTCCTGGCAGCCAAACTTCTCCCAAGGGGTGTCCCAGAGCTGAGCCAGGAAAGGGGTTTCACAGGCACTTGTGTGGC